TGATAAGACATCTTGATCCCTAATAAAATGAGACAACTTTTAGGATAAAACGAGATATAAAACAAAATTTTAGTATCAATCATTTTTAAAAATGGAACATGAGATAAGAATGTTTTGATCCCATCCTATGAACACCTTACTTTGGACCCACAAAAAAGGGAGAAAAAAAAAGCTACGCTTCAATTTTTAATATATGTGTAGGGTTTGTAACATACATGATAGCAGTGAAATACAAGTTCGATGAAAAATAATCTATCTATTATTAATTACACCAAATCATGGAATCATTTCAACCATGTATCACTCTCCACAACCATGAGAAATAACATCCATACATAGTTTGTTGTGATAAAATGAAAATAAAGAAAACATTTCAAAACCCAGAAACTATTGTTCAGGCTACTGAAATGCTAGCCCATCTCATCATACTATAACTATTGAGCCAGAATGTAAGCCCAGTAGAGCAACGTGTTTACAAGCCCAGTTTAGCATACTGAAAGAGAACCCTGCCTGAAACGGACATGTACCATGGGGAAAAGCCCAAAAAAATAAATAAAAACAAGCAATTCAAGTGCAATGGGAAGATAGAAGCAAAAAACACAGCAACATTGACATCTATAAATAAAGCATGAAAAATTAGGATTCTGGAACCCGCATCAAGTCGATGAGCGTCATAAACTATTATTGGTGATGTCCGAACATAAGGATAAATCATAAATATTCAAAAGCCATGCTAGCTCTTTTTTTATATTATTAAATCATGAAGAATAAAATACATAAGATGCAGACGTAAATGAAGTTTTAAACAGGGCACTTCCAGCGTTCAATAACTCAAGGAACGTTTCCAAAATTTGATATGCCTCCTTCAACTTGACAAATTGAAACCTTCAATTGCCTCTACATTAGCTCGATCCTCTCTTCGAGATCCTCTATATCCATTCTATCAACTAACTTGCAATGATCTTAACAATTGATACATACAAACCACGGAGCACCAAGAAGCGGAGTCTTGTGTAACTTTGGCATGGCGATCAATATCAGCTGATAATCATCTTGTTCAGAAATTCAGCTTGTTCAGGAAAATACTCCATCAGTTCATCCTTTGTCACCCAAACAAAATCCTCACACTTGCGAATGTTGAACTTGTTTTTGGCAATTACTTGTGACTTGAAGAAGAATTTCTGACAAGATTTCAGCAAAAGAGAAAAGAATGATAAGCACAATTCACAGTGAAAAATAAATGCTGCACGGGACCAACATGAAAAGCTATGCAGTACCACTACACCAAAACAGGGGGAAGACTCCCTTAAAGATGGATGCCAAAAAAAAAAAAAAAAATTGGATTGAATTTAGGAAAAGCCCTGCAAGAATGTAAGGCTGGATTTCTTTTCCAACTCTTCTTGGAAATAGTGCCTCAAATTGTTATAACTTATAATTATATTAAAAAACTTGATAACAAACATCTTAAGAATTGCACTTAATCTTTTCTACTATAAAATTACGTACGGCCACAAGCTAAAAATTACAATACCAAAGTAACGAAAAATTTCCCATAGAGGCACCTTGAAGGATGCAGACCCTGGCGCATCATCTGTAGACTGAAGGACCATATGGCCCATTGGAGCATTTCCAACAAAATAGGTGCTAGATAGATCTCCTATGACTGATTTTAAAGCAGACTCAGCACACTGCGAATTTTTAATAATTATGAGGGGGGAAAGGAAAGGAAATGAATGTAAAAAAAAAAAAGGGTCACATAGCAGCCTCTACCTTCCGTAGTGTCTCCTCTGATTCATAAACTTTTTCCGGAAAATGCCAGACGGGCTTCTCCCCTGGAGCCCCATATGGATTACCTTTCAAAAGAAGGTACAGTCTTCTGTCAAGAGCTCTTTGCAATGACCTAAAAGGTTATAGTTTAAAAATATTCAATAATAATGGACCAAATAATAATAATATCAATAACAAAAATGCGTAATCATGCAACAAGTAATTCATTTTACATGCATATTTTTTTCTTAACAGTTAAAAGACTACGTAAAACAAATGAGTTTCCACATCTTTCAGATTCTCAAATTATACAACCTACTTCCATCTCATTCACCATATGTAAACATTAAAACTTACACACACGAGCATTCTTCATTATCATTCAGATATGTGCAAGCTTGCTCAACATTCAGAAGGATGGGCCTAGAAACTACACATACAGTGGTGCAGTTATATATTCAGTGGTAGAACCCAACTATTAACTTTGCTTTTTAGTCAACCTTACAGATGATGCAACCTTAATGCATACCTTCTGTCATTGTTTTTGTCAGCTTCAGTGACTCGAGGAGCTGGCACATAGTCAATCTGATATTCACCTTTCCCCCTGGATGAAATATAATATTGACATAAAGCCATACAAAACCAAAAAAATTTCTGTAATTTTTCCAGTTATTTATCTCTTAAACGGATGCATGCAAGAAAGAGAGGATATTAGAAGAATATAGAGAAAGAAAGTAAAATAATAAGAACAAGTAGTAACCATATTACCTCAAAATAAGACCAGATGGAAACATACACATTATATTTCAACGAAAAGTTAATAGAATTCATTTTTCAGGTTATAAGAACTATATTGATGCGACAACTAAAGTTTCACTGCACCATAGAAAGTCAAAGGGACAGTCGAGACCAGTAAAACATATTAATAAGATAGCATATACAAAATTATAAACACTTCCCACTCAGAAGCACAATAACACATTATGGCAGTCTCCAAACTGAGTTAGCATGTCCAATTCAATAGCAAAAAGGAAGGGGAACATTAGAACCAAATCAGTTCTTCGATGAATCACAGCATTATAAGTTAATTTTCCCAGTATAAACAAGATGTAGACTTCAATGATGTCACCAAAACTACACCAGGGATTAAGATCATCATAATGAGAAAAACAGGAAATATGAAAATCATATCAAAGCATTGTATTTCAATATCAAGTGCTAAAAACATAAATAAAAACAAATTAATACCTTGCATTAGATCTGTCTAGAAATTCATCAGGATATCTGCGCCGATACTGCTGTTGCCACCGAAACCTAAGCATCCCATTCCCAAAGTTATAATAAATAATAGTTGTTCTAAGACAATCACCAACAGCATTGCCACTTAATAAATGGCACAGAGAATGAAGAAGATCAAAATAACTACAAGCACTGCTACAATCTGTTTTTCAAATATGCTGAGCAAAGTTAACCACGGCACAAACACTCACTTCGTCGCCCAAAAGATTGGAAGAGGCAAGAACGTAACGCTATGTTATATGCATTTTATAGTTCCCTTAATTTGGGTCTGTCAGAATCCAGGCCAGATCTAGGACTATGTCCTAGGAAACAAGTATATCATTTTGTCTTATGTAAGCTAATGCTTAAAATGTCGGCTTTAACACTCTCTTCCCCCATTTCTCCCGCAAAAGAACAACTCTTCCTACGCATTTGCTAGTTTGATCGCTTCATTCACCCCAAAAAAACAAAAAGTAAGAAGCCCAATGCCATTCGCTCTCGCAGTTCGATACACTTTCTGAGATAGCAAATGCAGATGGAAACTTACGAGAATTCTTGAAAGGCATAAACGACGGGGTCGATTTTGGGAACAACCACGGGCAGCCTCTCGAAAAGCACAGAAGCAACGATTTTCTCGGAGCTGGTGCTGAACCCTCGCCTGGTTAAGAAAGGCCGAACCAACGATCTCTGCATCCTTTATCTTATGAACAAAGACAAAGTTCGATCAAACAGCCAAAAATGCATACATGTGGAGAAAGGGAGGGATTATACCCTTTCTTTATTTTAATGAAGAGGAATATAGTCCCTCATTACAGAAATTATAAGCCTTGTAGAAAACGAGCTACTAGTTGCAGAATGAACAGTGAAGAAGGAGCACCAGATGGAGGAGGAGCCACCGCTCTACCTGAAGCCGAAGAGTAACGAGCGACGGCCTTGCTATCGTGACAGTGCGAGTTCGAGGGTTCTCGTTTCGTTGTATTGTATTTTCCCTAAACCATTCTAAGCCTACAGAAGTAACCTCACATGGTTAAGAAAGATTTTTAATTATTCGGTCAAAAGATTTGTTAAAAGATTTTAATAAACTATAAAATATAACAGTTTCTGCTCGGATATTCTCTCATAAAAAGATGATTAGGACTTCTTTAGAATTTCTTTCATAAAGAAATTTCATTAACAACTAATATCAATTTTTTTGTGTGAAAAAACTTGTATTATTTTTAAGTTATAATTATAAATAATATAATATATCTTAAACTTTAGAACTTCTAAAAGCCTTAAAGATCAAATGAGAGGAGGGATTTTGACAAAGTCATGGTTGCCGAGGCAATTAGTATTATGATTAGATGTACACTATTATTTGCTAACAAGCCTCACTGATAATATATAAGACAAGGATTGCAATGTTAATAGTTTGTACTTCACCGTTGGTCAAAAAAACAATTAGTTTGTGCTTCACTGCTTCCTTCATGTTGTGGAAGGTTAGTGGATTTTATGTAACATACTAACTAAAATATAACTTAATATGTATGGAATAAGTTAGGTCAAATCTCTCACAAAGTTGATTAAAAAAATTAAAACCTTAATTTAGTAAATCTACCCCAAACAATAACAACTTGAATTGGATTTAAAGATTGGAATTAAAACAAGTAAAGATTAAATGAAAACTAATATTTTGTGTATTTTATAAAAACTTAGACAAATTTGAAAATGGATAGAAAGTGTAATTAAAATGAAATGTTATGATTTTTCTAGACACATGAACTCCCTTTCTTATCCTTACTCTAATTAAGTTTCTCTTTAACCCCAATTAATTTTAAAGATATCCTAGTAATCACAAGAAATTAACCCTCTTAGATTTTTAAGACTAACTAGAACTCTAAATTATTCCTTAGAACTAATTGTACTCACAGATGACCAATTAATCATGAAGTTAATTACCAATTTCAACTCTTACCTTAACCAAATGAGACTTCAAATTCATTTTAAAATGGAATGGTGCAGCATGAATTTACAATATCAAGTCACATGGCTGTTGATGTCAGCCATATAGCTCTCCTCCTACCTACTTTACTCAACTGAGCCAAATACTTACAGTGAATTCCTACAATCCGGGTGTCATATCAAGTAACAACTATACAACAGACCACAAAAACAACTGTACTATACTAGTTTGTTAGAGGATTTAAACAATAAATCTCAGCTTCTTCCTATGCTTCAAGGTTTATTCTTTTCCAAGATAATGCATGCCAAAAGAAACAGCCAACTTGTATTTCAACTCAGCAAGAGATCCGTATCAGATTACATAAAATTCTGCTGGATTCTCATGACCGTCCGAACTTGCAACTAGTGGAGGTATTGTAGGGACTTTGATGCAGATACAAAGCTTTGTTTATCTAGAGCTTCCCCTGTATATCTTTCAACCACCTATTCACCTGATCTCTTATGCCAAATCCACTGCTAGGCTTTAGAATTTGCCTAAATAAAGCCATTTTCGGAACATTCCAGTGCTCCACATGTCTGAAGAATTTGCAGACGTGATGTGAATGTTATGTGGGTAGAAACTAGAAAGCAAAGTGGTCATGTCAGGCTTGACACTAATTAACCATTTCACGTACCTGCAAACTCTTCCAGATTGTGCATCAAAATAGTATTCTGTATATCCCGTTGCTGCAGTTTAAATGAACATGGTCAATTTCATGGCACATCAGTTAGATTAGAGTAGACTCATTCTTCCCAATCACTGTGGCATAAGCACATTTGGTCGAGACAACTAATTGAATTGAGTAGGCATGATTTCTCAAGCATTGTCTTAGATGAAGCACCTTATTCATAACATATAGTGTGGTTTGCTATAGATTCTATATTTTACATTGATATTGATTCCATTAAAAATCATGAACCTGTACTCATATCCTTTCCAGTTGTGCAAATATTACAGCAACCTCCCTTCACTTTTCATAAACATTAAGTCTTTCTCTTGGTGATTTGTAGTTTTGTACAACATTGAAATTGAATTAGGCTACTAGGAGCTAGGTTGCATAGATACGGGTATGAATCCCTGATACGATACAACATGATACGGTAATACGGCAAATTTTCAAAATTTTAGGATATAAATACAAAAATATTTATAATATATATTTCAACATTTTATGATATAGGTATATGTATTTTGATTTTCAAACGAGAATTTCTAAAATAATATAAGGATATTTATAGCAATCAACTAAAATATTAAGTGTTTTATCAAATTTTTAAGTGATATAACAAAATATTATTAGAAAAGAATTATATTATAAATGTTAAAATATGGGATATGCATGCAGAAGTATCTTACAAGTATTGTATTGGATACATATCGAATACGAATACATTTACTTTTTTAAAATATCCGTGCTTCATAGACTGCGAGTTTCTAGATGAAGCTGAAATGTAAATCACTCAGAGAGAATAGAAAGTTCAAGTAAAACACAAATATTCTATGGCAAGATTAAACCGACAAGTAGACAGCCTTTGGGCCTTCAGTGGTTTGGTTCAGTCGCTGGAAAGCAAGAAAGGTATACCAGAAAGAATGGGTCTCCAAGGAAACGATAAAATACAGCTGAATCGCCAGTGGCCAATTCCCTTATCCTGTAAATAAACCAGACATGCAGATCCATAATATGCCCGTTGGCTCAACGGGCCACTTGCAAAACTTGAGTTTGTGAAAGCAGTACTGAAGTCTCAGAGGTGGATCTCACCTCAAAGTCTTCCCACTTCATAAGCTTCATACTGGACTTTACAAGCAGTGATCCAAAATTAGTGCAGTTCCTTTTGAAACGTTGAAGCCCTTTGAAGGAGCCAGCTGGATCAGCAAATTCACAATCCTCTTCATAAGCATTCAAAGTGAGGTTTCCTGAGGGTGAAGAAGACCAGGTTAACAAAGTAAAATACCCATAAAAAGTATATGAAATCACTGGCCAGAATATATTGAAACATATGCTTCGGATTATGTTTGAGTTTATGGGAGCAGTCACTAGAGGTTGCTATGTTTGATGTGTCATAGGAAGTACACTTCAACTTTATGTAAGCATGTAACACAATTTGTACTTCTACGGAGTCTTGAGAGAATTGCTGGCTTTTCTGTTGGAGTTTTTGAGTAAGCAGCAACTTGTACAACTCTTCACATGCCAGGGATTCAGGACAAACTCAATTATTGGTTAAACCAATTTGACTGAAAGAAGCCAAAACTACATAAAAGATAGTGTATGACAATAGACCATGTAAAGTATCTTAATATAGGATGCAAAATATCTTTGAGGGAGCCAATTCATAGAACCAATCATCTTTCAGGAACTCTAATTAGGAATAAACTTAAACAAACAAACTGCGTCAGGGCAAACCTGTGACGAAGTAAGACTTTTCAAAGTCCTCTTTGATGGTTGCCACAATCGCAGCGCGATCAACTGCACCTGAACCATCTCCGGCGAGCTCAAGGGTTCTCTCGGGAGCTTCCTCAATTGAAGGTGAACGGAAAACAGAAGCAGCAACACCCAGAAGTTCAGAACTATACCATGCTATCTTGAGAAGTGCATTTTGGGGTTTGGGATCTTTTTTTGTCGAGGAATTGGTGGTTGGGTTTCCTCCATTGCAACGCACTCTATACGTTTTGCCGGGGGATTTCGATGGAAAGATCAAAGTATGATGGGAATTTAGGTGAGCACAAATGGAAGCTACGGAGGCAATAGTTGCCATGTGAGAAGCTCATGAGACAACAGTTAGTCGCGCGGTTTGTTTAAAAATCTGAACTTTCTGGCTTCTAAATAATTGATGGCCACAGAAAACAAGGGAATAATTTTTCTGGATGAAAATTTGGAGAGAACGGCTGTCTAATTTTGCAATTCGGCCTCGTTCTTAAAGTGAAAATTGATTGCCACTGTCAAAAAAAAAAAAAAAAAGATCGCCAGAGCATGTTTTACTTTTATGTTAAAACTTAAAAACCGCCAAAAGTAAAAACTTTTGTAAGACTAATCTTGCGCCAGAAGCCCCGAACTATACCATTTTGACAAAATTATTGTTTAGGATTTAATAGTTTTTATATAATTAATTGAGCTCGTAAAATAAAATTGCACGAATTTAAAAAGCATCAAAAACTAGAAAAATTATGGGATTGGGAGAGACAATAGCATAGAAATTTCAGGCTTGATATAATGATTCATACAATGATATAATTTATAAATAATCACCAGTATAAAGTATAAAAATTTAGAAGAGAACATTTTGGACTCCATACAAATACATGGAATCATTATAATTTATAGCTGAAAGAAAAACGTGTTAAGTTCTTTAAGTGAATGGTATGGTATACGATGCATCATTTATATTAGGTGGATTTAAAAATAAATACCGAATTATAAAGTATAAAACAATACATAGAAAGAAAAATTACAGTCATAAGTATCCAGAGACCGTTCAAAATTAAATCCTATTCTTGTGCAACCTCTGCAGATCATCTTTATGCAAAAACAATTCTGAATTCCTTTCCTAAAATAAAAAAGGGTAACGGTTCTGAAAGTGAAAACTAACAAATAAACAAGCACCCGGCCCCAAGCTGTGCCGTTTGCAAAAACGTATTCCCCTCCTAAAATATTGTAAATAGCAAGCTTCAAGGACTACAAACGTATTTGACTGGCGAATCACAACAGCACTATCTCATCATGAAAAGCATATCACGTTCTGAGTTATCTTCCCCCTCCCTGCTTGTTGCCAGTTCTGACGTTGTAGCCAACAATTAAAAGACGGCAGAGGAGAACTCATTACCTTGTTCCCCTTCATTCTCTCTGAGAAATTCTGTATATTACAGTGACATTCCGCAGTTCTCTCCTTTTGTTTGATTCAACATATCATCTCGATAACAGCAGGAAGAACACGAATTTTTCTGGGAAGGAACCCCAGATATTCCCCATCAGATTGAATATATACCCCACCCTTCCCTGAAATGTCCTCCACCTCTATAGAGTGCACCCTACAACACAAAAATCATCATGAATGATTATCATCACCAATTGTTAGTTTGGCATTACATTAAATAAGAAAATAAACGTTAAGCAAAATAGAGATGAAGAAAACAGTTTAGTTTCGCTGGACAAGATAGTATGTTCACTAATTATTATGAGAAACAAACACAATAAATGCCATCTGATACTCCAGAGTTAAGCTGCATATTTTATCACCCTAACATCCAAAACAGTCTGCTCATTAATGATGCTCAGACATCCAAATTTCATGAATCGTTGTCATCATAATTGTCATAATAAAGTCATGACATGTGAAAGACCAAGTTATGGTAGTCAGCTAGCAGGGTAGATTCTTTTTTTTAACCAGTTAACTTCACAATGAGAGAGCCCTTTTGTCATACTAAATCATTCTTGATTCGAAAGACAGTTTCAAAAAGTTCATATTATGAGCGGCCATCCACAAACTAATGAGGTCTTGAAGATTGAACAATTGTATGATGCGTTCTCCGGAAAAGGTGTTACCTTCTCGAAGATACATTTTTTACGGACAAATGTGTACCATTGTACAGTTTGTGTAATTTGAGGATGAAATCATACCACTTGAAGTTTTGAAGAATAACAACCTGAAGAATTTGGAAACCAAAAAAATCTGTCAACTTCAAGTTATTAAAAAAATAGAGGAGAATGCGCAGGATAAAGGAGCCCTTTTAGCCAGCAGATTTTTTAAAAAAGATGCTAATATTCATCAAGGAGATTTTAGGAAAAGGCGTTTCACCTCAAGATTTCCACTATGTGGATCAGCATTTGGTGTAATTTTCATGCCGCCACCAAAGTATTTTGCATTTCCAATGCAAAGGGCTGTAACTTGAGGACATGTCTCCCCGTCACCTTCATTCACCTACCAATTTTTACATGCAAAACTTATGTAAGCTTTTTCATGCATTAATATAAAGCCTAAATACAAGAATATGGAGGATGTCTTTCAACTAGTTGCTTTGACATTCATAGCAACACAAATTAATATGTTACACTGACTTTGATTCTCAAATCCTGGTTATGATGCCCCATAAAGGCTTGCAATGCGCCAATGACATAGCATAGTTTACCAAATCTCTTGTACCTAGAAGCATAAAAACCTGCCTTAGCACTCCTGCAAAATTTTGCAAGGCATGTCTTTAGATAATGATCTGAATCATGACTCCTGAGGTTCAATCTTGAATTTTCAAGTTATCCTTACAAATGAATGTCAGCAACATTTATGAAGTAGTGATCTTCTCCATTTTCTCCAGTGATGACACCAACATCTATCCTTGATCTCACCCCTAAAGAACTCCCACGTTAGCATTTCTAAAAGAGAAATCAAAAGCAAACACAGTAACAGGTTTTGCAGCAAGATCTGCCAATCAGGAACAATAACATGACTTGAATAGCCCAAAAAGGTAAATGAAGATCAACACCTTTAGAAATGCGTTCAATGGCTTCGTAAGGATCATTTTTCCTGGAAAAGGAAACAGATGTATCCATTCCAATCAATTCTCTCAAGGTTATATGCTCCATACAGATTAGAGATTAAAGATGAAATAAGACAAAGAAACTATAACTTACCACCCAAATGTTCTTGCAAAATCAGAACCAGTACCCAGGGGAATGAGCTGTACAAAGGCAGAACATAGTTATATCTTCTGCTGAGAAATCCAATCAGAAGATGTGTTACAGATGACTAAGTCTAAGACCATATGCATGCGTTTCAATGAGAATATTGTATTACAATGACAAGAACTCACACCAAGAGCAGTTGAATGTGAAGGCTCTTTAACATGACTGGCAACAGGCTTTCCAGCCCAGAAGAAACCATTAACAACCTGCTTAAGTCGTAGTGAGTGAAGAGAATTCTATCAAATCAAATTCTACGAGATAACAAGGATGTTGAAATTCCAGAAACAGTGGTGCAGAATACCATCTAAATATTAGCAACCCAATGAAAAGATTTTAGAACAGACCAATTCAGACAAGACAAATTACAAAATGATTTTGCTTCCGACCCTGATTGTGTAGTAATTTGAATGAATGACAAGCAATCCATCGATTTAGATCATCAGTCTACATACTCAAGTTAAACATACAGAAAACAAAAGAGGGGGGCTGACGCTAAAGAAACTCGTATAGAAGGAAAAAAAGAAAACAACAACAACAACAACAACAAGCCTTTATCCCACTAGGTGGGGTCGGCTACATGGATTGCAAGACGCCATTGTACTCTATCATTTATTAAGCTTTTAGAAATATTATTAATTAAGAGATCATGTTCAACAACTTCCAAGAGTGTTCTCTTAGGCCTTCCTCTACCTCTCTTAATCGGACTCAAAGTTATATGTTCCACTCTTCTCACTGGTGCCTCCCTTGGTCTTCTTTGTACATGCCCAAACCATCTCAACCGATTTTCTACCATTTTTTCCTCAATAGGTGCCACCCTCACTTTTTCACGTATGTGCTCATTTCGAATTTTATCTTTACGTGTATGTCCGCACATCCATCGTAACATTCTCATCTCTGCTACTCCAACTTTATGCTCTTGCTGTCCCGTTAGAGCCCAGCATTCACTACTATATAACATTGCCGGTCTGATAGCAGTACGATAAAACTTTCCTTTAAGTTTATTAGGCACCTTACGGTCACAAATAACTCCTTTAGCTTTTCTCCAATTAAACCACCCAGCTTGAATTCTATGTGAAATATCTCCACTGATTTCGCCATCATTTTGAATAATGGCTCCCAAATATCTAAACTTTTCCACTTGAGGTATAATTTGATCTCCCAATTTCACTTCCAAATTATTTTCGAATAGTCCTTTACCAAATTTACAATATAAATATTCCGTCTTATTTCTACTCAGACGAAAACCTTTCGACTCCAATGTCCTCCTCCATAACTCAAGTTTGCAATTAACCTCTTCTCTTGTTTCTGCTATAAGAACTATATCATCTGCGAAGAGCATACATAGAAGGAAAAAAAGAAAGCATGCAGAAAACGTTAGCACCTCATGAAGAGTTCCATCACCTCCGACCGCAACGACTGCATCAGCCCCCTCCCGTATAGCCTGCATAGTATAGTATGACATCAACAAAAAGAAATAACTCAGCAGAGACAATACAGTAAAATCAATTAATTTCATTTCCAAGCATTAATCATTTAAACTAACCTCTCTCGTAATGTCAATAGCATGGCAAGGACCTGAAGTTAAGGATTCGCATATCTATCAAAACCAAAATGCAAAAACACGTGAATTAATGAATTAAAACAAAAATGAAAGACTCTGCATTTGCAGACTTCATCAACGGAGGGGGAACTCACATTGCATTCTTTACCAAAGCGTGACTGTAGATATGGAAGAAGCTGCTTCCACTCTTTACCCGTCCGACCATTAGCGCCTTCACCGAAGCCCCAGTATCAAAAATTCAAATCCAACGGCCGGCATCAAGTTTATATCTCATTAAGGAAAATGGGTATTTATTTCCCACCAAATTTGCCCGGCAGCCAAGCAGAGAGAATGAAATGGAGACGGAGGGGAAGAAAAACTAACCTCGAGGATTGACGACAAACACGAGGTCGCGTTGTCGTGACGAGGAGGAGGAACCAACCCCACGGAAGCGTTCCGAGGAGAGATCCGGGGCCATTGGCGGGAGCTCTGATCTGAAAAGCGAGGGTTTAGCCATGGGCATTCCGCTTCCCAATGCCGCAACCTGACTCTGAAAATAGTCGCTTCGAAGACGAAAACTATGACACCCATGTGTCAGTGAAAGAAAATATATCCAACAATTATTAATTAGTATTACTATTACGATTAGAATTACATCACAACTAACTTTTACTAATTTTGAAGGGGATGATATCCGATAAACCGCAAATCTTCATTCATATCATGGCTCTTGCAAGAGTTCTGCTTTGCCTTTGCGTTTGGATTCTTCAAGCAATCGATCTCTAAGGAGAGAGAAGATACGAGTAACGATGCAGAGGCAACGCCTTGAATGCGGGGGTAGCAGTTACTAACGATGAGGATATAGGAAACAGGGAACACACGTCAGCGAGTCCTTCCATTGATATTGCAGTTCGGACATTAAATTAACAAATTAATTTAACAATAACAAATTTGGTGGATACAAGATTTGCATTTGCCCAAACAAGTGAAGTGGGCAACATGACTGCATTGCTCAAACCACCCGATTAGTTATATTCATTAACCCATGGTTAATATATATATATATATATATAAAGTTCATGGTTTTGAAGATTTATGTGCAATAACTTTCCAAATCCCATTGTTAAATGTTAATACCAGGACCCGAATAATTTATACTTCCTCCCTTCCAAAAAATATGACAATTTTTTTTATTAATGTTGGTCTAAAATATAAGATACTTTTTAAAAATTGATAACATTAAATTCTTTCTCACAAATGTCCTTATTAATTACATTGTAAAAAGAAATTAAATGCAATTAAGATAAATTGATTTTAATTGGATATTAATCTTGAAAATAGAGATAATTTTTACAATTTTAATGATGCAGATCACTTTTATCTATTTTTCTTAATTCTTATAAAGCAATTAAAAATGTCTTGTTTTTAAACTGAAATAATAGCACTTTCATTTTTTACTTTTCTTTCTTTGGTTTTTGGAACCGTGAGAGGCCTTACCGAGTGAGTTCTGAAATTTGACTACAGTAACTTAAACTTTTGAATAGTAGAATAAAAAAGAAACCGCAATCCACGTCAGTCCAACATACCCATTAGATGCAAATCTTCAACTTTACACGGGCAGACAGCACTATCAAAGATCAAAGATCAAAGATAAGCAATAATTTGCGTAATAATGCAACGCTCATTTCTTTCCTTAGCCTTAAAGTCTTTCCAAGTCTATTTTATTTTAAACTTGTGAAGATCTTAATTCTTAAGCTGAGAAACTTCCATGACAAACCAGAAGAATTTAATTCATAAAGATCTTATGTATGTTGATGAGTACTTTTTTCACTACATTAAAAGGGTTCAAATTATAGTCACTATTCACATTCCATTTTTATCACTTTTTTTTTTAATCACTTGAATTACTTCCAAATTGTCTAAACAAATTACTTATCTGTGACATAATATTTAAAGTGATTTTTGTTTCTTTTTTCCCCTCCACTTTTAATTATTAGTCTCAAATCTAAATTCCAAGAAATATACCTGCCGGAAGTCGATTCTTGTGCAGATCTGGTCAGCTCATAAGGAAAAAGGACAAAATGAATGAGATAACATGTCACATCAACACCAAATTGTGTTTCATTTTTTTATAAGCCATAGATTAGCTGGGAAGTCTAGAGATCTCAAGGCCAGAAAAGGAGGAGGAAGGAAGGAACTAAAACATAAAGGTCAGAACAGAGGCTTTTTACCATTTAACATATCCAATAAATGATCAAGAACTTGGCTCCCTCCATCACGCAGGCCTGAATGCATAAATTCGTTAGTTATCCAAAGCCTAATCCCTGCTATTTGAGAAGCTGTTTCCATGGCCAGCTTAAAATTCACATACAAGTCTTCATAATAAACAGCTGCTGCAACAGGTACCTGCCCCAACATCGATCCAAAAACATTAAGTAATTAGCAACAGAGAAATTTAACACGATCCTTTGCAAACAACAAAAAAAGTTACGCAATTTTCAGGGAACTTGGGGACTCTAACGTGCCTGCGTCTAATGCCTTTTGTAATCATGCAATCATAAGTACCACTTGTATTAGTAACATGCATCTTGGTACAAGTTTAGCTGTAATTAATGTCTCTGCATCCTTTCTCCTTCCTTACATTAATAATGAAAGGTGGTATCATATTTTCATAGTTAATATAGAACATGATCATTTATGGTAAAACTGAACATTTGTGTCTGCAATTTGGAAAGTATTTCCAACTAATTGTGAGCCAAAAAAATCATTTTTCCTAACTTATACAATAACTTGGCTCATGATTAAAAATTTGGAATTGGATAATTAGATACAGTAAACATTGGCTGTTCAGCCGGAAAGTGGAACAAAAAGAATCCCAAAAATGCATATCGATAGAATGCCAAGCTAATAATACTATGCTCAAATCCGTCTGTGTGTAAACTTGTTTGTCTGCATACCAAAACTGCCAACCATTTTAACAATGAGAAAGCGTTTGAAACTGGATTATATAGATAAAATATAATTCCTGTTAGATTTTTTTATGTTACAAGGAGTACACTCCGCCAACAATAAAGATTATTTTTCTTGAGGTACTGAAGGCAAAGAGTAGACCTTCCTAAGTTGCTACATACATAAGAATTGAGATTCAAACCCCAACAACTTACTTAAATGACAAAAACCCCTGCCCCTCACGCCAATTTTAGTTGATAATTCCCGTTAGATTTTAGATAGAAAGATTTGACTAATTTGAGATTCCAATACACTATTACATTTCTAAACAAACTGCTAAAGTAAAAGCAGCATACCTTGTTGTTATTCAGCACCTCAGTGTCATATAGTCGAGGCCAATCCTTCTTCTCTGCCAGTTTATTAGCTACATCTTTGAATGGTTTCAAAGCATGAATCTCATCAAACATCCACGGGAAAATCATCTGTAAATGAAAATAAGCATGGTCAACACGTGATTCTGGTAAAAAGAAAGTAAAGAAATAAACACATAAGCATTTGATTTATGTATTTTAATACCTTCAACTCTGAAAAATGGAAAGTATTGCCATTCAATAGGAAAACAAATGCCATGTATTACAGTTCATATTCAACCTATTCATACCCATTGAATCAAAAAAAAACTCAGATAGATGACAAGTCATGAAGGGCATGAATTATTTATATAAAAGATCCGTGAATTTACGGTAGTCCAAGTGAGGGCACAGGCCTGAAGCTATAACTTAGCGTGTCTCTCTGTGTGATCTTATGGTTCGAGTAAAACCCAATGTTGAATTCCCTTCAATTAAGGTAAAGTAGAAAAATCAAATTTTAGAAATCAAAGTTCAAAGAAACATATTCTCAATAGCATTGAATTAACCATGATGCATGCATTAAAGATGCTTCCATATGGCAAAGAAAATTATATTTATTTTACATCTTACCTCTCCTGTGAAAAGTACAGGGCAGCCTTCTCTTGCAGCTTTAATAGCATCAAACTTGCTTTCATACTCTGTCCTTATTCTGTTAGCAGACCACCTACTAGGAGCACCCTACAGAGAGATAAAGATTGAGAATCAGATATCAAAGAAAACCATAGATTAAGAGTTTAAAAAAAAAAATATGACGTCCACCTGACAATAGATGGGTTCGTGCAGGAGGGCATACAGGGGATTTGTATCAAAATCCAACCACTTCTCAAACTGCATATATGAAAAACTGGATGTTGATCTTCATAGTGAAACTTGAAATCCAGGATTCAAAATTTTATATCAAGAGATTAATTGCTTACAGAACTTAAGAAGTTGTAGCTGATCCTCTTAGGTGCTCCTGGAACTAAAATGGGATCCCACATTCTTTCAAACCTATAAAGTATACAGGTTAGCCAGTAACATAATGGAAAGATTAATTTGTCAGCTCAAGATAATTGAAAAGGTAATGTTTTCATACAAATAATGCATGCGCTCAAAACCAGCTCCAGATCCCAGGCCAGAAAGACCAAGAGTCTGGAGTCCTCTGGGGGTTAAGATGCCCCAGATGGAAGCGTCACCTATACAAAGAAAGAAGGTAATAAGCATCTGAAAGAAACTTTGCATATATTTTTCTCCGCTTCAACAACAATAAGAAAGTCCAATGAGGCAGATACTTGCCCCTCCCATTTCAGCTAAATAATTAACCAGCTCTTGAACACTTTTGATATCCTGAGGATATCTGTTGTAGTACTTGTCATTTTGACGTATAACTTGCTCAAAGCATGCCCTGTATACAGAATCTGCAGTACAACCATCTCCAATTGGAGGAATTCCTCCTGTTAGAAGTACTTGTTTCAGTCCCTGCGGTGCAAAACTCAAATATGTGACTCCACAAAAGCCACCAAAGCTCTGCAATAGTTGCAAGGATACAAGAGGAAGAAAGAGTAAGAAATTATTGGATACTAAGGTCATATTTGTTTCAATATTGCAAAAGCAAATCAAACCAAATGACCATAAAACAATTATGTAAAATATGAATGTTACAGCAGGATAATTTAGGATGAAAATGAAAAAGAAACGACATTCCAAACCAGTTAGGCCTAATCACTCATTCACATGAACACCAATAGGAAACAGTGATGTGAATACCTGCCCTAAAACTGTCCAAGGCCCTGCATCTGGAACAAGGTGCACTCTAATAAACTCTGCATCATTTACTATATTATCAGCTCGGAAATGTCTCAAGTAGTCAGCTAATTCATCTGCAGACTTAAATTGTGACATTGATGACACTGTCAAGGGAGTAGATAAGCCTGTTCCTCTCTGTAAAAACATGCATAGGTAATTAAATGAGTGATAGACTGAAACTTCATAGGACCAAGAGGATGATACAAAAGTCTAGCAAATCATGCCTGATCCATTAAGATGACACGAAAATCTTCACAAGCTTTATGAATCCATCCACTGGATTCAGTTGGTCGCAGACACTCAAACCCAGGTCCACCTTGCAAATATAGCAGGTATGGCAATGTTTGTTCTTCTTTGCCAGCTGTGACAACAGAAATGCATTTTTCAGAACAAATTATTTGGACTTCCTACCCTGTCCTGAGGGTCTCAATCATCTTTTTGACCCAAACGATACGATGTCATTTCTCACGATTATAGAGTTCCAGTTTAAGCATTTACTCTGAGGAGGAGGAAAACGAAGAGTACGCATGATCAATTTCTTCAAAGTGCAAATTCTAAAGGTAGAGTAGTGACATGAGATGAGAATAAAATTCTTCATATGTTAAGCTAGCCGCACAGTAGTATAATTTGTATGTGTATGGCCAGCAAGCACATCATAAGAATTCTACACTGTTGAGTCAGCTCCCTAACACTCGATTAGTTGATTCTCGATCCAAAAGAATATTTGGGATCGGAATCTGGATTCACAACTTAAAAGTAATGTTCCTGGAATAACTTCGTTTTACACGATCATTCACCCCAGGCCCCAAGATTTTGTTTTCCCCATTAAGTTTACAAAAACAAAAAACAAAAAAACAAAAACAAAAACAAAAACAAAAACAAAATAAATAAACAAGGCAACCAAAAAAAGTTGACTGAAAATTTGCTATAATCTCTATAACATAAGATCCACAAGATCAACTAACTGAAAATGAATGCAACTAAAGTCGATTATTTTGTTTGCACCAATCGAAAACATTTTTTTAATCAGAAGTGAAACAATTTTGTCGTATACGATACCTGCAACGACTTCACGAGCAAAGACGGATATCTTGGGAGAGGAATGAAGATGGAGAGTGTGGTCCAGCGGTACAGCAAATCGATGATCACGAAGCCGAAGCTCCGGCACGGGGTACCAGTTGCCGGAGACATGCTCCGATTTAGAGTCTGAGAGTGTAGAATTTTCTGCGTTCATCACAGAGACGATATAGAGTGACCTCCGGCGAGAATGTAAGAAAGAATGCTTAGGGAAGGTAAGATTTTGAATTAGCGACTAAGCAGCAGGTGATAGAGCAAGAGAACGATAATGCAGTGAGCACAGCGTTGAAGCTGGCGCGTAGAATACATACATTTGTGTCGCGAGTGTGATCGCGGCAAACCGTAAGATAATAAAATTTTGGGAGAATATGACATCTGGTAAAGACCTACAGATCCGATTCCTCTTAAAATAAAAAATTTATTTATTGATTATTAATATTTACTTATTAACAATTTTTTATGAAATTAAATTGCTTCCAATGTTTTTTATATTTTTTAAAAATAATTATTATTAATTGTTCATCCATGCATATTGCAAAACAAGATCACTCACTGCTAATATTCATGTAATTTTTTATTGCCTTTTTTCATTTAACTGTTCGTCAAAGCAAAATAAAATCACTCTTAATATTCGCGGAATTTTTTATTTAGTATACAGTTGAGCATTATCAGCTTGAAAGTAACTCTTTTAAAAATATCTTAAAAAACTATTTTATTTATAAATCATGAGTTATGTTT